AACCCTGAACCCTAAACCCAAACTGATATCAGGGATGGATACGGGGCCACGGCTCAAGCCTTCATGAAAAACCTTCCTTATGGGCACCCGAGGGTCATATCTACTATCCCCTTGTAGTCGCCATAAAACTTGCAAGTAGGCTCGAATATACCCCGGAGTCCGTTTCTAAGCGACCCCGTTCTACTCAAATCCCCCTGAACCCTAAACCCTAAACCTATAACACTTTCTGGCTTCCTACGATGGAAGCCTGCAGGCTGTCTAAAAGGTCGCCTCCAATATAGGGGCCATAAAATTATACTAGGCCTCCACTTAAAGGGCTCTGAAAAGTTCGATGAGGGTTACTAAGTACAACAAGGGTCTTGACTCGGGTTTGAGTTTAGGGGCTTTCAAGAACGGGAATAGGGTAATAGAATCATAACAAGGAGCCCTAAGGCACAGCATTACCAACTGTTCAGTTTACTACCTTAGTACGTCATGCTCTCGAAAGGAGGTTTGGCGCAAGGGGCTTAAGGCTGGCCACACGGTTTGGAAGCACGAAACCGAAAACCTCCCCCCTTCTCCCCCCGAAGCCCTCACCGACAAACCCTCAACCTCACTCCCCAGCTCTGAAACCCTACACCCGCCCCGTAATAGCCCCAAGACCAACCGGTATGCCTGAAGCCCGAACCTTTTATGCTGCGAACCGGAAGTCAAGGCATAAGTAGCTTCTTGTTGGGATTACGAGAGCCTTAATTGGATTGGTCTGGATATAGCTCTGTTTATCATAACCTACTTACTGACAGCGTTCATACTTTTCAGTGCCCCAAAACGCTTCAAGCCCTGCTGCCTGAAACCCAAGAGTGCTCTACATGGAGGCTTCTTGTAATTCTTGGTCCGTTTTCTGGCGGCCCTTCCTGTATGGTAAAGATCTATGAGCTGGAATTCACGATTTTCCCCTGCACATTCCTTCACTCCACCGTAAACCCAAACCTTGGCCCCAAACCCTACAAACCCTCTAAACCCTC